TAGGTAAGGTACCTCTTTAAACCTGTAGTCCACTTTTTAGAATGGATTTGAAAGCAATAAAGCTATGTGCAAAGGTCTGAATGCGAAAATATTCATTGTACCTTTGCTGATAATGCGGACGATTAGAAAAAGCCAGCTGTCACACAATGAGGAATGACTAAAATGTAAGATCATATAAGAGTTTAACTATAGCAATTTTAAATGACTTTATGTAAAGTCCATTGATCAGCATGGGAATATATAAAGTGGAGGAAGTGATGTAAAACATGTACAGTGTGAGTTCCTTTAAATAACATACACAATCTAGAAATATGGTCTAAAATATAGGTAAAATAGAAACACCTATCAGTTATCTGTTTTCCAGTATGCAATAACAAATATTAGTATCTCTAAAGAAATGTTTTTTTTAATTTTAAGCAAAAGACTTTCATTAGCTTCACTTTTTTCATAATTTTTCATTTTGATGTCTTCATCAAGACATTTTTCATAAATGAGTTAACCCTTTGAAGCTCAAGATATTCCCTGCAATTAAGTCAAACTCTGGAAGATACAACAATTTATCTCAAGGAACAGAATTATGATTTCTTAAATTATATTTTCTTTCTATTAATGGTTGGTACCTTCCTGGAATGAAAGAAGAGAGACCTCTCTAATGTGTACTTTACAGATGTCTAGCACCAACCCTATTCTCCTAATACAATCTAGTCATCCACTTCTGTTTCAATGGCCAAACCGGCTGGTCTACATCTAACCTCAAACCCACAACCCCATGCCTCTCCTGTATCCCTTCCCTTTTTTTCATCCCCTCATCACACATTGCACCTCCTCAGATCACTCTATTTTCTAATTCCTTCATTATCCTAATGAACTAGGGCATTGGGAAACAAAATTAATTTTTTTTCTATATTTGCCTCTTCAAACTCACTTATATACTGCAGCTTTCAGGGTGGAAATATTAAGTGCAGGGTTTGAATTAAAGCACAAAATTTTCTTTTCCATTTGCTGCTCCCAGGTTTTAAGTGGTCTCATGATTCTACAGAATGCACACAATGCTGTAACTTCTAGCAGGGTTTCTACTATCAGCATAAAGTGTGCCAATCATAGTTTGAAATATAAGAAGGCAAATATTAAAGATTCCTTTTAATTCTTTCACAGTTCATTAAATAAATATATAACTCTAATCATGTCATATTTTTACTTCAGAAATTTTCATTTATCTTGGTCAAAATATAATCTCTAATCTGCCAAATGCAAATTTCTCTATCGATGAAAAAAGAGAGAAAACAGTAAGTCACAGATTTACCAGAGCTTTAAACTGAGGGGAAATTTTCTACAGTTGTTCCATACTGTAATTCTGGTCAACAGGCTTGAAAAGATTTATCTGATTAATAGTAATTTAAACCTTAATGTTTAAGAATTCATATTAGTAAATATTTGTTGAGATGGACCTATAAGTACAGCAGTATGTTCAATGAGAAGGAGGTAGAGATAAATAAAACATGATCCCCTGATTTAAGAAGGTTTCAATGGAGGAGAAACTAGATACATCGCATATAAAAATAAATGTATCGTAAGGAGCTAGCCATTTCTACATCTCAATAAATTTTAACACTGCCACACAAAAACACTATTTTCTACAAAAGAAAAACCCAGTCAAAAGCAGAAAATAATCAAGTATAATAATTTAACATGAACAGAAACAAATATTCAGATATTCAAAAAATGAGTATGTGCCTACTATGTGCCAGGAGACTTAAAACAGAATATCATACCAGCATATACTTAAAACAAATCATACTTATAATATTTTAGAACTTCTCTTCACAAACACTTCCAACTTTAAACATATGTAAGTAACTAAGCCTTAGCACCATTATATCCAACAATTTAATTCCAGGCTTTTTCTCCTTTAGTAATGGGGATTTGAAGCTTTGAAAAATTTCTACCATAATATGTATTTTTAGCAGTACTATTTGTAAGATATCTTAAGGGTAGGGAGAGAAACGGGAGTGAGGGGAAGTTGGATGGATGATCAAGGTGTATAGGGTTTATGAGTTAGGAGATAAGTCACAGAGCATGTTAAGCTATGGTAGGTAGGCCAAGGAAAAAGTGTTGGAAGGAATGAGTAAGAGAAAATATACTGGTGGATACATAAAGAAAAGATTTTTTAGGATGAATACCTGACAGGATTATAGGAACACATATGAGATTATCTGTTCAGGAGGTAGTAAAAATGACTGCCAGAGAAAGCATAGAAATTTTAACTTAAATGTAGTCTACTATGTAACTTTGAAGTGTTAGATGAGAAAACAGTGATTCCTTATAAAGGCAAGGGGAACAGGCAAAAAAATGAAGTCAAACAGCTGATTTTCTGAAAGCACTCACTGTAAATTATGATTAGGTATTTGCATTACTTAAGGACTTCAAAAGCATATACTAGAATACTAGCAGATAGATTCCACAGTACATTAAAAAAAAAAACTGTAACCAAGTGGGGTTCAAATCAAAACTGCAAAAATGGTTCAAATGTAGGAAATCTACTACTGTAATTCAGCATACTAATAGGTCAAAAGAGAAAAAAATACACATGATTATAGTAAAATTCTAAAAATGCATAAACGTTATCTTTCTTGATTTAAAAAAATAAAATAGTTAATCATTATTTTAAAAACATTTGTAAATAAAAGCTATTTCCTTTATTTTTTTAAAGATAGATTTATTTATTTATTTATTTATTTATTTATTTATTTATTTATGAATGAATGAATGAGAGAGAGAGAGAGACAGAGACAGAGACACAGGAGGAGGGAGAAGCAGGCTCCATGCCGGGAGCCTGACGTGGGACTTGATCCCAGGACTCCAGGATCGCGCCCTGGGCCAAAGGCAGGCACTAAACCCCTGAGCCACCCAGGGATCCCCAAGCTATTTCCTTTAAATGATCTTTTAAAATATACAAAAGGCAGTATTAGACTTGAGGGAGGTACTAGAAGCATGCTCATAAAAGAAGGAAGAAAAGGGTCCAATATCATTATTATTATTTAACAGCTTTTCAAAGATACTGCATGGTACCATTAGACAAGAGTAAAAGAAAATCAAAAGATATAAAACTTGAAAAGGAATTCATTATCTTGTGCAGATGGTATGACCATATACCTAGAAATCTAAGAGAATCAATTAAAAATTATAAACAATGAAAGAATTCTGTACTATGCCTAGGGACATAATTAACATAAAAACAGTATTCCTTTATATAGAGATAAAATAATGTAGTAAAGTAATTCTTAATAGATACACAAAAATAGATAAATGTAAAAGAAGTTTTAATATTTAATATACGAGATAATTATGAAGAAAACGTCAAAGTGTTACTGAAAACCAAGAGCACTCTCCATTTTAATGATGAAGTAAAGTAAAGCTCAGAGAGGCAGAGTAACACTTCCTAACTTGTAAATGGTGACAGTAAAAGATGAACCTAGATTTGTCTGACTCCAAAGCTCATCCTTCTTCTACTGCAAGACACTGTTGAAAGTTCAATAGATGGACCCTCCATAAGCAAAACCAGATGAAATTCAAGAAGCCTTCACAATTTAATATTTTTAATGATCTAAAAGTTCTATTTGTAAGCACTACAAACGTACCCAAGATATTTATATTAAATTAACATGAACAAGTTAAAAAAATCAGAAAAGTTGCCTGAAATAAACTGAACCAATTATATCAGGTCGTTGTGTACAGTTCCCAAAAGGACTGGATGTGGGACACTTGGCTGGCTCAGCTGTTGAGCATCTGTTTTCAGCTCAGGGCATGATCCTGCGGTGGGACTTAATCCCATATTGGACTCCCTGCATGGAGTCTGCTTCTCCCTCTGCCTCTGTCTCTTTCTCTGGGTGTCTCTCATGAATGAATAAACTTTAAAAATCTTTTTAAAAAAGGACTATATGCATGTAAACAGTTCCCAGAATAGAGAAGATCCACAGTATTCCCCAGACTACTCTGAACAAGAAGGGGTAAGGGGGTGGCGCTGAGGTGGTCTTTTTAATCTGGTCCTTTCCTGAACCATGGCCCTGTAGCACCTACAGCTTGTTCCTGACCTCCTAATTCCCTTTGGTTACCCTGAATTTGTTTTCCTGACATCTTGATTATACTCTTGGCATATGGAACACTACACTAAATACAAGGCCCTTCTCTTTTGGCCTAGCTCCATGGATCCTAGGATTCTTCTTCCAGTGTTGGGTTTTGTTTGATGAACCTGTCAGTCACATACTCATCAGCTGACTATACTTAATTACAAGATTTCTTAAACAGCAACAGAAGATGGTGCTTGTGCACTCCTCCCTAGATATCAGCTATGGTAATTCTCTTGTCATGGAATTAAACCAAAGGACTTAATATTCTACTGTAGTTCGGAAAAGGTAAGCCAGGCACCTAAGGTCCAAAGGTAAAGTAAGGAAACGATGGTGAATGAAAGCAGAAGTACTATAGATCTAGGGGCAGGACTAGAAAAATGGGTCATGCCAATCCAAAGCTATTCAGAAGTTAACTAGATACCTATATAAAATGAAAGCTTGTGATGAAGATACAAACAAGAAAGGAATATCAGAATTACCTGTAATTGATAACACTTACCTTGGCTAAAGTTCTAAAAACCAACAATTTATAGGCATCAGAACTTTGCGAGAAAAAAAAGCTAAGTTATCCACAGTCCTATGTCCTAGATAGTAGTTAATTAGAGTCCTCCCATAAGATACAGCCTGGAAAACCCCATGAAACCAAGTAAGCCCTATCCTGCTATTCTATGAGAGTTTTCAGGATATTGAAACTCAAATTTCTCTAGGAGACAGACACTTTACATTGTCCTACAAAGAGCTTGTGTGCAGTAAGAGGTGGTATACAGGCAAAGAAGATGCATATCACCAAAAGAGAAGAGAGAATTCATGACAGAAGGAACTGTAGAAGTTCTTTTGCTTCTCAAAGAAAACAAACATTCCTAACATCCTTACCAGTAAACAACATCCAGTGGCGCAAAGTAATTTTTCATTATCAGGTCAGCAAAGTAAGCTTCTGTTTCCCGGCAGGCAGTTCCATTTCCAATCACCACCGTGCTGCAGCTTCAAGGGATAAACAAGATGAGAAATGGAATGAGCTCAACACATGGTTTAAATCAATCAGGAGAAAATAACCAGAATGCACAAATACTATCATACAATGATCTTATTCTCTCATATAGCCAAGCAACATCTCCACTATTTCACAAAGGAGACACAGACTTTTGTAGAAAAAAATAGGACAATGTCCCTGCCTTTGGTATGGGGGGCAATGGAGAAATATTTCACTGTCAAACAATCAAGAACACTCAGCTTTCTTCCCATCTAGAAGGAACCAAATTTACACATAGATAAGAAAGTCTGGAGCATTCTAGGCCATAATAAAGACACCAGGACTGAATTGATATGTTGTCAAATAATGTCTGAAGCTTCAAACTAATATCACACATCTACTCCTCAGATCCATAAAAAAGAATGGAAGGAAGGAAGAAAAGAAGGTGGGGGGAGGGAGAGAGGGAAAGAGAGGGAAAGTGAGGGAGAATAAATGAGTGAGAGAGAGAAAGAGAAAGAAACCCCGAATCAAAGAATTCAGTGCTCACTTTTGCTCACACTACCACCTTTCAATAGCGAAGGTGGCAGAGGAAGGAAGAAGCATCCCTCCGGAGTCTCCAAAGGTACAGTTCTTCAGCAATTTGCCCTAGCATTGTTTTACATGATTCCTTCTCTCTCACCAAAGCACTTCCCTTAATCCCTCCCTCCAAATTAGGAGTTTCAAAGGTATCTCTGATTGGGTGAGCCACAGAAGTACTCAAAAAGTTACTTATTTTCATACTTGAAATTCAGCAAAAGTCTCTTTATTTTCTCTGCCTCTCGGAAGCCTTGTCCACAATGCAAGTAAACCACATCAGTATGCAGTATCTGACCTTAGAGAAAAAGAAAAGAATAAGCCATTTTGTAAGAAATTACAAAACACATAGATGATTTGATTAAGTAATTTGTACCAGAAAAGGGAACTGCTTTATCTTTTAAAATGCAGGATAAATCATTCACATTCACGAAATCAGATTCTCCTAAGCAGTCTGCAAACTTCCAAAGTTATGAGAACAATATTTTGCTATTTATTATTAACAAAATCATTATTAACTAGATTATATACCATGATACTTAAAAAAGAAATGGTTTTTAATAATATGTAACATCAAGCTAACATCTACTGATATGTACCAAATTCCAGACAATATTGTAATACTCTTCTATTTCTTCTTTTGGATATGTGGATTTCTTTACTTTGTGTAATTCTTAAGCTGCATATTTATGATTTGTGCACTTCTCTATATGTTACCTTATATTATTATTTCAGTGAAAAATATATTCAATATTTAAGGGTAATGACATCAAGAACAGAAATCATGAGCTAAGTGACCAACTTAGGAAGCTATGAAAAGAACAACAGAATAATCTCAAAGAAAGTAGAAGGAAGAAAATGATGAAGTTAAAAGCAGAAATTAATGAAACAGAAAAATATATACATAATAGAGAGGACTGGTGAAGTTTAAAGTTGAAAATCACTTAAGGAAAACAAATACTCTTAGCAATACCAATCAAGAAAAAGAAAGAAGATACAGATATATTGAAAAAAGAAGATATACAAATAAATAATATAGAAATGAAAAGAGGATATTACTAGAGCTTCAGGACAGATTAAAAAGATATAGAGACTATTATAAACAACTTCATGTTAATTTAAATGATGAAACGGATAAATTCTTGAGAATGTGTTACCAAAACAGACTAAAGATACATACATATATATGTGGGAGCGCATACGGTATTTTTAAAAAGTCATCCTATAAGCAATACAAATAACATCATATCCAAATACAAATACACATGGTATTTCAACAGATGCAGAAAAAGATACTGATAAAATATTTTTCCCATTTACTGTAAAAATGTATAGCATAATAAAAAAAGATGGAGAAAGTAGGACAGCAAAACCAAAAACCAATAGTTATATCTGTAACAAAGTTAACTCCACAAAACTCAAAAGATGATCGATCAAGTGGGGACAATGCAACTATCAGGACTTACATGCATTGGCATTTCTGTGGAGCAAGTAGAGACAAGCAATGAAGTATCTCATGGACCGAAAAATTACAAAAGGTACTTTCCTGTGATATGGGAAAGACCTCCACATACTCTTAACTTATAGGTCAGTAGAGAGACTGCCCACTGAGTGCAAGAAGGACTGGAAAACTGATCTCTATGAACTCTTGAAACTAACATGCAGAATATTCCTTTCAAGACAAAAATCCCAACTGAGGAGAACATGTTAGGAATCATATCTCTATCGAGAAAGATAGAGATAACATGGGCAAAGGAAAAAGAAAATCCAGGTAAAAGGGAGAAAGCATCAGGAAAGCAGATTCCAGAAGGTAGAAGACTCTATATTCATGTAGATATTAAGGTGCTTTCCCATGTCAGTAATTTGGGGAAAAAAGAAGTGATAGCTCCAGAGGTATGTAGCCAGAAAACCTTTCCTGATCTGGTCTTCTATACCAACAGCTGGGAAAAACAAATTTTATGTAAACCTAAGCACAGAAAAAGATTACAGTCAAATTCCATATAGAATGGATATTTTTTAAAAAGGAAATTAAAAAAAAAAAGACTAGCATGACCTTACAGAAAGATGTGTCCACAAAACAGAAAAATTATAACCTAAAGCTACAAAAATATAATAGAAAATGAGAATAATGTAAATCAGAATTAGAAAACCCCAGAAATAACAAGTTCAAAACTGAATTAGACATGAAAAAGTTATTTTCAAAAGAAAAATCTAAACCAAAAGAAACACAAGAACAAGTATAGAAGTATTACATATTATATGTGATATATATGTAATACATAGTAGCATAGAATCATAGTACATAACAATATAAATATAATAAATAAGAGAACTATGGGCAGCCCAGGTGGCTTGGCATTTTAGCGCTGCCTTCGGCCCAGGGTGTGGTCCTGGGGTTCCAGGATCGAGTCCCGCGTCAGGCTCCCTGCATGGGGCCTGCTTCTCCCTCTGCCTGTGTCTCTGCCTCTCTGTGTGTGTCTCTCTGTGTCTCTCATGAATAAATAAATGAAAAATATTTAAAAAAAATAAGAGAACTATAAGGTAAAAATAAGAAAACATAAAACACCAAAAAAAAAATTAAAGTGAAGAAGTTCACTATAGAACTGAAATCTATTTCTTATAAATACCAAATGGAAATTCAAAAACTTGAGAACACAATAATTTATATAAATAACTCAATGGATAGCTTTAATTGCAGATCAGAGATAGCAGAATAGAGGCTTAATTAACATAAAGACAAACAATAGAAAATAAAACAAAAGAATAAAAAACAGAAGAGGGAGTTGAAAGGTCCAATATACATTTAATTGGAATTCCAGAAAGAAATGCAAGAAGCTCTACAAACCCAAGCAGAATTCATGTACTAAAATCCCCCACAATCGCGCACACACACACACACACACACACATAGAACTAAGTACATCATAAGAAAACCTCTGAAAAACAAGAGAGAAAATCTTAGCAACCTGAGGAAAAAACATATCATCACCTTCAAAGGTGCAATAATAAGACTTTTGGTTGAGTTCTCACTCTCAACAAAAAGTGTACTAGCCAAAGGGGGAAAAAAAACAAAAAATGAAATGACACCTTTAAAGTACTGAAAATAACACCAATCATGAATTCTATACCCAGCAAAAATATCCTTCAGAAATGAGGACAAATCAGAATCATTTTAGACAAAAAAGGACACAATTTGTCACCAGCTGACCCCACACTAAATGTAATAGGTTAGAGAGTTAGGCAGAGAGAAAATAATCTCAAATGTAAATACAGAAATGCAGTAAGAAATGAAGAGCAAAGAAAAGGGTAGGTAATAAATATGGGAAAAAATGCTGGGCAAAACAATAAAAATGTCTGGTATTTTAAAAACAAAGAGTTAAAATGCATCATACACAAATACACTACAATAAATAGAAGTTGATGGGGGATAGTTACTAAAACCTGAGCCTAGTTTCAACATTTCTTCTGTGACATAGGGAAGGGCATAAATAATAGTAATATGTGGAGATTTTTTATCAACAAAAAGACAAATATGAAGTTTGACTTTCTGGCTCTCACATCACTATATGTGAGAAAACCATTTTCTAAGTCTTGAAATAATTAACATTATTTCCAAATCCTCACAATATGTATGATGTGAAACTTATGACCAATCAACTTTTATTATTTTTATTTATTTATTTATTAAAGATTTTATTTATTTATTCATGAAAGACACAGAGAGAAAAGCAGAGACATAGGTAGAGGGAGAAGCAGGCTCCATGCAGGGAGCCCAATGTGGAACTCGATCTAAAGACCCTGGGATCATGCCCTAAGCCAAAGGCAGATGCTCAACCACTGAGACCACCCAGACATCCCCAATCAAACAACTTTTAATTGAAGAGCTGAAAGTTGTGCTTACTGGTAGGAGAAATTATAGCCAATTTGCAACCATGTTTGTATCCAGGATCCACTCCCATCAAGGTGCGCCCTGGAACAGGGCTTGTTAAAAGGAGCTGGCGGAGGTTCCGTCCAAACATTAGCACTGATTCCTTCTCTGCATCTGATGTTAGTTTGGCTCTTTAGAAATCAAAAAAAAAATAAAAGGAAAAAAGTATTTAGTTTTTCATTCACCCAAAGTTTCTTCCTATACATCCCATACAGGAGTATTTATTGTAACAAAATAAAGAAAATATCATATATAAAATTATACTGAATCTATTTTTGTTAACTGCAGTAATACATGAAACCATAAACTATTCTGATGTAAATCTGAGGAGTCTGTCATACTTACATTCCTTCCCTATCTGTTCTTTATATACAAAATCTATATGTATAAATATTTATGTATGTGACAGAAACAGAGTATATAAAGGCCGAGACATCACAAAGGAAGTCAAGTTAATGATTTGATTAAAAATATAAAAACAAAATTAGTGATAAATTACTGAATCCTAAGTAGTCTCTTCCCATCAATACTTAGTTTTACCCTTTTACCCAAAATAAATCTCAATGTCATTCTCGCACTCTCTTCAGTTCCTCACGTTGAGCCCCACCTCGTCATTCTCACAGAGATGTGACATGACCAAGAATATTAGTAACCAGGCCAAGAGCCATGACTCGTGTACATAATTTCCCAGGTTTTCTCCAGAGAAGTTATTAAACATCTGATTTTAAAACTTTTTCTAGGATAAAAACATATGTCTATAATGGACTTAAAGGTATTAGGAAACTAAGTTTTAACACCATTCACATTCTTTCTTTTTTTAAAAATATTTATTTACTTAAGTAATCCTTACACCCAATGTGGGGCTAGAACTCATGACTTGGAGATCAAGAGTCACACAAAATTCTGACTGAGCCAATAAGTATGGTGCCCTTTAAAACCATTCGTCTTCTTAACAAAAGCTCTTAGCATACTATTCTCCTGAAATTCTTACAAATTTTATAAGAAGACCCATTAGAACAGGTACAGACATTCATGCCATGGCCACAAGAAAACCGACAGTACAAAAACCATTCAAAGCACACTTCATATCAGTGCTGAGGTCAAATTATCTACATATCTAAAGGCACACACAGCTAATTAATGTCTGTTTTTCTGTCCTCAGTCAGTTTCTTAAGGCTTTTCTCTCATCTTTTTTTCACTGTTGTCACCCTCCCTGCATTCAGTCAAGCAACATGAAAAATAACACAATAGATATTTCTAAATCTTCACTTTTAACTTTATAAAGTGAACATCTGTTGTCAGTCTTATATAAAGTACCATGATTGGTGTGAGATACAAAGCTGAAAAGACAGGATCCCTACTTTGAAAATGACTGTAGAGTGGAAGAAACAAAAATAATCAGATCAGAATAAACAATGATATGTGTTATGCTAATGAGAACACATGGGAGGGAGAGCTAAACTGCAAAACTTCCTAAAAGAGACATCTCCTTGGGTGAATCAAGAAGAATAAGCAAACAAAGCAAGAAGAGTTAAGCAAACAAAGGCAGGGAGAATAGAACGAAGGCATAGAGAAAATGTTGCAGGCAACAGAAGCACCATACATAAAGACTCACAATTCATTACAGAAAAAGCAAATGGGGGTGCCTGGGTGACCTAGTTTGTTAAGTGTCCGCCTTCAGTTTAGGTCATGATCCTGGGATCAAGCCCCACATTGGGCTCCCTCTGCCTCTGCCCTCCCCACCACTCATGCTCTCTCACTATATCTCTCTCAAATAAATAAAACCTTAAAAAGAGAGAGAGAGAGAGAGAGAGAAAGCAAGTAATTTCATCTGCTAAAGTAAAAAAAAAAAAAAAATACCTTATGTCTATAAGGTTGTACAGCCAAGATGAAATCAGACCCCAAAAGGCAATGCATGATCTTCTAAAGAGCTTGGATTTAATCCTAGAGACAAAGAGGAGCCACTGGAGAATTTTAAGCAGAAGAGAATGAAATAATCAGACGGAAGTTTAAGGATGGCATTGTGAAAAGTATAGTATGGCAAACAGACAGATATTATCTATAATCCTAGAATAGTAATCCAGACAAGAAATTATGATATCTTGAGCTAAAACAGTAACCACAGAGACCAAGAAGAGGCAAAATTCAAGGTATAATAAAGGATGGGAAAATAGGCAGCACTTGGTAACTGACAATGCAGGATTGATGAAAAAGGTAGGTGTGAAAAATGATACATGGATGCATCATCTTGATAGTTTTGGAAATAAGAAATCCAAAGTAGACTGCATCATATATGGTCAACTGAATCAAATGTCTACAAAATAATATAGTCTATATGGTTGTTTTAAATACTCACACATGAACGGGGAAAAGTCTGGTTAACAATAATTATCTCTAGCAAGTGAAATTTTGTCGGTTTTTTTCCTTTGCGTTTTACTGATTCTTCCAATTTTTCTATATTAGGACAAATTTCTTTTTAATTAGATAATTGAAGTAATCTTCTTTAAAGAAAAATCAATTGGGAGTTTTCTCCCTCAATTGCTGTTCAAGTAATTATGAGTATTTTTATAAGAGACACATCTGCAGACAATGTCTGAAAACTGACTTACAGACTAAAATAAGACATATATTTTTTTTAACCACAGGTATTTTAGAAAAAGAGAAGAAAAGTGCTCTTGCTTGCCCACTGCAACAGAAATCAAAGAAGGATTATGGCTTAAACAATCCCACACCAAACCATTTACATTAACTCTCAATGAAATCATTCCATAGGTAGTGAAGCTACTCAAGGCCAAATGTATGAAGAACTGTCGAAAGCACTACTGGTCATTATATGCAACATGAAAGAATAAACAAGTTAAAGAAAAAATATACAAAAGGAAATGAAATTTTGATTAAGGTAACTTTCTCTTTTTCCTTATGAACAAAACCTCTTATTTTTAAATGCTATTCCTTAGCACTCAAAAGCAAGAGCTGTTACCTCACACAGACTTGAAATGAGATAGGATTCCAATAGAAACAAAATTGTTAAGGGACAACTGAGCTATGAAGGATGAATCAAGAGAATGAATGACTATGATAAAAAAGCTGGTCAAAAAAGCTATGTGTCTTTTTAAATACTACCTTCTCAGTTCCTGTTGTCAACATTTCCAAAGTCAATGGCCAAGTCCAGTAAAAGAAAAACAGGCAAACATTATAAATGCTGCTATCAACTTTAGTGAGATTGAAGAGATGGCTAGAGATCTACAGTTTTCAAGTAACCCTTGCTGAAATCCATAAGTAAGAGAAAATGAAGAAAGTCTAGAGTGCATAGGAAGGAATCTATGAGGAAATGGATGGTCTGAAGATTGACTACAAAGACAAAGGCTAGAGAAGCAGGGAAGAGGTTTTTGCCTCCGCAACCTTCTTTCCATCTGCTCCTCTACAAAAACCTGCAATCTGTATCTCAGCTCTTTTGTAGTCCTTCTTTGTAACCCTTAGTCCTTCTACTAGTCACTTACGTGGCCACTTTAATCATCTCCTCTAATATTTGCTCATCACCGCTGATAATTATTCACCTAAATAACTCTCATTTGGAATTAGAAACATATATATTAGCTTTCTCTCTTCATAGTAATAAATTCATCATATGCTCCACTGATTTCCTTATGCTGGTTTTGGTTCTCTTACCTCTAAAAACTGCTTCCAACTAAATTCTCCATCAACTTCTTAGTTTATTATCCCAAGCTAAATCTCTCATCAATAAAACCACTTGCTTGTCTTGGCTGTCAAACTGCAAAACTGGTATTGTAGGACTGGAAGGGTACACATTAACTGGTCAAGATTTGAAAAGTGCATTGTAATTAGGAGCTATGTTTTGTGATCTGCACATGTGAATGCCTTTACAGTTTGAAATCTAGGCTTAACTATAATTGCTTCGTGATCCTGGCTCAGTTCTTCGGATTGGTTAAGGAATCAACAGATATTTACTTCATGTCTAAATGTGTCTATCACCATACATAATAATAATCAGTACATAAAATTACATATGACAGGATACGTACCTGAACTCTCTACAGAGAAGAGGATAAATAAGGCGTTTAAAAGAATCATCCAGTGATTTGTTTAAGATCTTCATTAACTCTGGCCTTGCAAAGCCACGTGGTCTCCACCTGCAAAAAAGAAAAGGCTACACTAAAACGGATGTAGCAATAATAAGACCATGAAAGGGCTCCTGGAAGAGGGGAGAGGAAGTGGAGCAGAAAAGGGGGGAAAACTTTATTGAAGGCAAAGTAACCTAATCTGTAAGAAAAGACTGTGATGTCTAGAAATTATTACTATGACATCTGGAGTTCTTATTTTTAAAAACCTGGTAACCATGGTCACCTATACAACTTAAGGGAGAAAAAAAACCTTCCTTATTCTAGGAAGAATCTCCAGAACATTATTAATAATGGCAAAAATCTTAAGATATAAGAAAGTCACCAGAAAATAACTAATGACTGCTATGAACTAAATTATGTCCCCTAAAATTAATATGTTAAAGCCCTAACCCCTAGTGAGACGGTATTTGGAGATACGGCCTTTGGGAGGCAATTAGGTTTAAATGTGGTCATGAGGGAAGGGCCATCATGACGGGATTGGTGCCCTTTGTAGAAAAGATTATCAGAGAGCTTGCCCTCTCTCTGTCCCTCCCTCCCCCAGCCAGGTAAGGACATAGTGAGAAGGCAGCAGTCTACAAGCCAAGAGGAGGGTTCTGACCAGGAACAAATCAGCTGGTTCCTTGATCTTGGACTTTCCAGCCTCTGGAACTGGTAGAAAATAAACTTCTACTGTTTAAGCGACTGAGTCTATGGTATTTTGTTTTGGCAGCAAAGCTAAGACAAACATGTATCCTTCTTTGTCTATCCCTTTATCTCTTCCTGAGAGTTAAAGTAGATTGAGCAAAGGAGAAACTATGTTTTGACCCTTGACTCTTGCCATTCCTTAGTAGAACTCACTCTACTCCTCAGGTTGTAGTGCTCTATCTATGCAATGCATAGATGCTGATGGATATAAATGTCAGAGAACTGAATGGTAGTGGACATTGGATAAAGAACAATAAGTGAAAAAGACAAGCTAAAAAGGACAAATTCAGTCCAACCCCTTCCAGGTTCCCATCCATCTACAGCATCTCTGCCCTTGCCCTTCAATGACTCTTGAGTAGAAACCATTAATAAAATATTTATTTTACAAATCATAATAAAATAAACCATGAATATACCTTAGAGACACTTTCATCTATCTTTCTTACTTATCTCAGGTAGGAAATTGACTATTCAGTGGGCAAACATTGAAGCAATTATAATGTGATACACCAAAGATTTCATAATAACAACTGAGTCCTTTCCATAGAAGGTTACTATCTGAGTAGAATAAAATTTTGTTTTTTAATTTGAATCAAAGTGCTTTCAGGACATATATCCTTCCACTCAAGTCGCTGTTACTCCCTAATGTCACCTTTACCTGAGGACATGAGGGTTAGGGAGGAGTGGGAGACAAATTACACATACATTTAATATTAATACTACTGCTGTTATTATTATTAATTTGGAGAGCCCAATGTCAAGAAAAGATGTCCCAGAAGAAATATCTGAGATAGGGTCTTTTTTTTTTTTTTGAGATAGGTTTTAAAAAATGAATTGTGCTTTACCAAACAAGACCCAGAAAAAAAAAAGCATACTGGTAAGAAACCATAGCACATAGCACAGAAGCATGAAAGAACATGATGAGTCCTTTCAAGTAGATTAGTACTGCTAAAGCATAACTGTCAAAATCAGTAGGAGATAGATGGGGTTAGAAAATATGGACATGGACAAATCACTAAAGGTCTTATATACCATGCAATTGAGGTTGGTAAGTTAGGAGAGAACACAATCCTGGGTCATGGACAATATGCTAGGAAGATAGTTCGTAGAGACAGGAAGGTCCTAATGGAGTAATTTTTTAAATGTATGTATCTGTTATCTGTATCTGTTATCTGCTGCGGGTCATTCCTTTTAAGACCAAACCAAAGTTTCCCCATTGCTAGTAGGAAAAACACAGAAATCCTTAACGTTGCCTACTCAATCCCTTTGGAGGCCTCAATAGTCTTCCTTAAACCTTACCTCTTGCCCCCACATCTACTGTGAGTTCCTTCCAAACAATTCCCTACACTGCAGCCAGAGTGATCTTAAAATGCAAACTGATCGTGACAATCCTCTGTTTAAACTCGTTATTGGTTTTTCATTACCCTTAAGATAAAGAATAAAATCCGTATTCTGTCTAGAAAGCTATGGATGATTGGGTTCACACCTACAAGTCAATCCTGTTTGTTGTCACTACCAGTTCCTTTCCTTCTGTCTCTGACCTACATATGCACACACCACAGACTACCTTAGGGTTCCCTGTTACAAACTTATTTTTTTTTCAAACTTATTTTTTTTTAAGATTTTATTTATTTATTCATGAGAGACACAGAGAGAGAGAGAGAGAGAGAGAGAGAAAGGCAGAGACACAGGCAGAGGGAGAAGCAGGCTTCATGCGGGAAGCCTGATGTGTGACTCGATCCCGGGACTCCAAGATGATGCCCTGGGCCAAAGGCAGGTGCAAAACCACTAAGCCACCCAGGGATTCCCCACTGTTAAAAACTTTTATGAAACACTGCACTCTTTCTTTTTTTTTAAACATTTATTTAGTTATTTATTTTAAAGATTTATTTATTTACTTATTCATGAGAGACAGAGAGAGAGGCAGAGACACAGACAGGGAGAAACAGGCACCAGGAAGGGAGCCTGACATGGGACTTGATCCAGGGTCTCCAGGATCACGCCCTGGGTGGAAGGCAGCGCTAAACCACTGAGCCATCCGGGCTGCCCTGCACTCCTTTATAACCTCAGCATACTCTTAACCATTTACTCAAGGTCTTCTCCACTAAACTACATTGTCATCAAGGAAAAACAGCATACTTGTCTGGTTTACAGGAAGATACCCAGCATCTAGCAAATAACCTGAATGGGTGAACATATGAGAGAGGTGGAAGGTGGAAGAAGTAGGGACAAAGAGAGTAAGACAAAAAAGAAGAGGAAAAGGAAGAAAAGATTTGAGGAAGTATCTTCATTCAAATGTATTTAAAAAATGAAAACAATTCCGAGAATGGTTCTTTGTTTCCCAAAGTATTTTAGTTGGCTCTTGTTTCAGTTCTTTAGTTCCCATACAAATGTTTCTTCAATTATCTATATAAAGAGAAACTTCTAGAACCTAACTGAAACTTATATTACTATACTATAGTAACATAAAGTATTATAGTAAAGGTCAAATAATATTACCATTTATTTAATTGGAGGAGAACTGAATAAAATAAAATATGGAGGAGCCAACAAAAACCATTTAAATCTCTGTAATGGAACCATTCCTTTATATTTACTTAGTATGAAAGATAACAGCTTAAAAGCATAACTAATACTTCCTTAATTATTGAGGACAGACACTGAGCATTATGAACATTCATAAGAAAATAAGATAGAAGTTGTCTCAAGTTTACTGTGATCTATTTATAAAAGAAATTTCTAAAAAGGAGTTCTGCACAATAATCCCACTATGTATTAACAGATACCACTGAAGGCTACACAATTACATGGAATATCATTTAATTCTCTTAAATCTGCGAAAAAGGTATTACTCATCATTTTGATAATAATGAATCTGAGAAATTATGTGCTCAGTCATAAGGGAAAGAAGTAATATAACTGGAATTCAAACTCAGATATTACTGTTTCTAGGATTTTGTTCTTTCTATGAATATCTCTTAGAATTTCATATTTTAGGGGATCCCTGGGTGGCGCAGCGATTTAGCGCCTGCCTTTGGCCCAGGGCGCGATCCTGGAGACCCGGGATCGAATCCCACGTCGGGCTCCTGGTGCATGGAGCCTGCTTCTCCCTCTGCCTATGTCTCTGCCTCTCTCTCTCTCTCTCTCTCTGTGTGACTATCATAAATAAATAAAAATTTAAAAAAAAAAGAATTTCATATTTTAAATTAAAATTATCTAATTTCTTAATACAATCATTTAATTCTATGGTTTATTTTAGGCATTTGTTTCCTTTTTATTTTTAACGAAATTTATTTGTTTACAAAAGAAATAAGCATTCATTAAAAAGGAAAAAGAACTCTAGAGAATACACAACAGAAAATTAAAATCTCACATCAAAAAAAAAAATAAAAAAATAAAAAAAATAAAAAAATAAAATAAAATCTCACATCAGAGGTATGAAATAGATCATCTGCATTTTTTCAAAAAATTTTTACACATACATAGACCAACTTTTTGCCATTAAAGAGACTATACTATAAATACTAAATATAAACTGTTTTTTTAACCTAATGGAATATGTTTATATCTCAAAGTTAGCTCTATCTCAACTTCTTCAAGATGGCTGCACAGAATTCTACTGAATGGATATAATATAACTGACTTATACAATTTACCTACTGATTAACATTGAAATAGTTGCTTCACTTGGTTAGCATTATGTGGTCATTAAGCAAGCTGATCCTTCATGGAATTGGTTTTTGGCAAACGAATTCCCAATGAATTGATGAAAGAACTATATTGGATGAGACAGCTAACTTCCAAAATATAGAGCACTTATTCCTCTCAAAGAAAAATCCATCCAACTCTTTAAATAGCTTTCCCAGCAATCTCCCTAACTTAAGGTTACAGAGAACTAGCCTATGAGAAGCATACCACAAATCTACATGTCCTAACTGCTAGGCAAGCTTCTTTACCTTTGCATCAGTTTTCTCATTGGTCAAATGGCAGCTACCAATCTGCCCTACCAACTGAAATGTTTTACATAACTGAAAAGTTAAAAATGAAAGTTAGAAATTCTATACAAATATGTGGTGCTATTTTAAAAGTTCCCTTAACAAAGGAAAAAAAGATAATAAAAGGTTACATAAGTTTAGACAATTCTCTGAAATATACAATAAACTTAATGTTTGTTTCAATCATCTTTAATATGCAAAATATTTTAAGTAAATTGCATATGTTATGTTTAGAGATTTACATTGTAATATCTGATTAGTTATATTCCTATTTCATTTATCCTTAATGGTCAAAACATTTAGATATGCCATTATACATTGTTTTTATTATTTTAATTTTTTATAAAACATTCTGTATAAGATTTGAATGATACAAAAAAGTATTAAAATCCCTCTCCCCAGAGATAACCACTGTTAATAATTTATTTTAATATTTAATATATTCTATTTAAACATACACAACATTAATACTTTATTTTTAATGTAAAAGAACACGTATACATTGTCAATGTTTGCTTTTTGTTTAACAGAATGGACATTTTCCCATATCAGTGTGGTATTTTAGAAATGGAAGAAAGGAAATTCTGTAAAAATCTATAAACAGACCTGTTTTGGATGCACCACCTGCAGAATTCATTCTTCACTCCATCAGAAATGTTGACTTTGACAGTCAGTATCTTCAAATTTTCTCCACGGTTAATTGCCAGAATCTGAATGCGAACATATATGGCAAAGACTGAGGGTCCACTAAATAGGTAAATGGTCAATTTAACCAGTCAACATTTGTGAAATAGAGAGGTTATATATAGCTCTCAATTTATTGCTATATAAAGCTGTATCAACTTATTAATTCATTTACAAAAAAATGCATTTAAAAATAATCATTTTTTAGACTTAAAAAAATTTTAATAAAATATAGGTATAAAGCCTATGACATTCACAGAAAGAGACTTTGGTGATCTAAAAATCTCATGTCAGATTTGATTAACCAAAGATTTTTGATCATCTGGAGCTAAGAAATTTTCTTCTTATATTTCTGAAAATATATTGCTAAGATATACAAATGTGCAAATTCCCAAGTGGAATAATAACTACTAACTGTTAGCATTTATTGGGCATTTGCTAATGGTGAGGTCTATCTCAGCCCTTTAGATACTTATCTCATTTAATTTTCAAAGCTACCAGTGCGTTATGTATTATTTTCACTTTATATAATCATTTTTTTATTTTTTTATTTTATTATTTTTTTTAATTTATGATAGTCATACAGAGAGAGAGAGAGGCAGAGACATAGGCAGAGGGAGAAGCAGGCTCCATGCACCGGGAGCCCGACGTGGGATTCGATCCCGGGTCTCCAGGATCGCACCCTGGGCCAAAGGCAGGTGCCAAACCGCTGCACCACCCAGGGATCCCTTAAGACTAACTTATCCCAAATAACAAAGATAAGAAGTGAAGAAAATATTTAAAATCAGATCAAGCAAATGTCTTAAAATACCTTAAAAACATTCCTTTAAAGAAAAGCAAACAAACCTAAAGCAGGTAGAATTAACAGAAATAATAGAGGGTAAATTGAGAATAGAAAAAAAAAAAAAAAGAAAGAAAATAATGCAAGCAAAACCAAAAACTGTTTCTTTGAAAATATCACATAATTGAGAAGCCTTTCACTAAACCAAGAAAAAAGGAGGAAGCATTCCAATTACCAAAATAAAAAATAAGAGGGGCCATTACTACGGAAGTTATAGAAATAAAAAGGACCATAAGAGAATACTATGAACAACTATTATGTCAAATTACATCCCTTAAATAAAATGGAAAAATTCTTAAAAAGACAGACTGCCAAAACAATAAAATAGAAACAGAAAATATGAAAAGATCTATAATAACTAAAGAAGACTGAATTGGTAATTTAAAATTTTCCCACAAGAAAATGTCCAGATGGCTTTACTGTGTAATTCTACCAACCATTTAAAGAAGAATTAACACCGATTCTTCACAAACTTTTCCAAAATATAACACAGAAGAAAAAGCTTCCAAAACTCTATTTGTTCAGAGACCAAAACCAGATAAGAACATTGCAAGAAAAAAAAAAAAAGACCATTATCTCTTAAGAATATAGATATAAAAATCCTCAATAAAAAAAGTAAACCAAATCCATAAATATATAAAAAGGATTACATACCAGGATCAAGAGGGATTTATTCCAGGAATGCAAGGTCGGTTTAACATCCAAAAATGAATTAACATGATACATCATACCAATAAAATACAAAACAAAAATCACACAATCTTCTTACACAATAGATGCAGAAAGAATATTTGACAAAATTCCAGCTTTGTCCATGACAAAAACACTCAAAACTCTAGGAACAGAAGATATATAATAGAGAGAGAGAGACGGGGGGGGGGGGGGGGGCAGAGACACCGCTGAGCCACTCAGGTATCCCCTCCAGACTACTTTAAAGGAAATAAAGAGGATCCCTGGGTGGCTCAGTGGTTTGGCGCCTGCCTTCAGCCCAGGGCGTGATCCTGGAGACCCAGGATCGAGTTCCATGCCAGGCTCCCTGCGTGGAGCCTGCTTCTCCCTCTGCCTGTGTCTCTGCCTGTCTCTCTCTCTCTGTGTCTCTCATGAATAAATAAATAAATAAATATAATCTTTAAAAAAAATAAAGGAAATAACCGAGACATAAAGGAAATCAGGAGAATGTGGTCTCAACACAGTATCAATAAAAAGTTGAGAATTAAAAAAATAAACCAAATAGAAACCTTGAGCTGAAAAAGAAAAAGAAAAAGAAATCCTGAGCTGAGAACTACAATGACTAAAATGAAAAATTTACTGCAAGTTCAATAGTTAATTTGAACAAGCAGAAGAATCAGCAAATTTGAAGGTAGGTCAACTGAGATTTTACAGTTTGAGAAGGAATAAAAACAGACAAAGAAACAGAAACAGAAAAAGAAATAAACAGAGCCGAATAGATCTGGGGGACATTATCAAGTATACCAACATATGTATAACAGGAGACCCAGAAGAGGAGAGAAAGGTAGAAAGAATATTTGAAGAAATAATGACTCTAAATTTCTGTTTTAATAAAAAACAATCAACACATCCAAGAATCAGAATGAACCCCAAGAAGGATAAACTCAAGGTGACACATTATAATCCAACTGTCAAAACCTAAACCCAGAGGATCCTAGCAGAGAAGTAATTCATCATGTGTTAAGGACTCAGTAAGATTAACAGCTGTTTCTTCATCAAACCATGGATGCCAGAAGACAATGGGGTGATAAATTCAAAGTGCTGAAAGAAAAAACTGTCAACCAAGAATTCTATACCCAGAAAAAGTTTTGGAGATTGGATGCACAACAATGCAGATATACTTAACATTACTGAAATGTACATTTAGAAGTGGTTAGGATGGTAAAATTATCACTTAAATATATGTTACATGTACTTTACCACAATTAAAGACAAATTTTAAAAATAAGGAGAAATTAAGACCTTACTGATAAACAAAAACAGAGAGTTTGTCACTAGTAGACCAGCCCTATATGAAATGTTATAGGAAGTCCTTCAGGCAGAAATGAAAGGACAGTAGATAGTAACTCAAAAGCATACAAAGAAATAAAGAAAACTGGTAAAAGTAGCTACATAGGTAAATGTAAAAGCCAGTACTATTCCATTTTCACTTTGTAAATCTTCTTTTTTTCCCCTTTATGACATACAAGCCACTTTCCACATTATAGATAGAACATATGACTCCAGTTAGGAAAAAAAAACTAGTAAACTGAAAAATGTTATTAAAGGACTAAGATGTAGTAACTATAATTTATACAATTAAGTGTGATCTTATACTTTATTCTAATTCAGATCATCTCTAATTTGTATGTCACATGGAAAAGATCCAGAATTGAGCTCAAAGCCAAGCACACTGAGAAGCAAAGTCTAATACGAAAGAAACTCAAGGTATCTAAAGTGGTATATTGTCAGCTCTACTAATAATTCTCAGTTTTACTAACTTCTCTAGGTCTTGAGTTCCCCATTTGTGAAATGGGAAGGATATGACGGTATTATAAGTATTTATGAAAAAAAAATGGTTGCCCTAAAATTCTTTAATTCCTTAATAAGTAAAGTAGTAGACAAGTCCAAAGTATCATCATTATTATTACCATCAGAATGGACAAGAGTTTCCTTATTTACCTGATGATGCTGGATGTTTCTTATGTTGCATGAAAAATTCTGGTAGAGCAGAAACTTATCAACATCTTTCTCATTTACTTTTTTTGAGGACACTTTTGCCAGAGATGATTGGATACAAATATACCTATTTTGGCACCTGTTCAAATAAATATTCAAAAGCAAGCAGTTATTAATATATGCTCTAGTAAAGAAACACATTATATGGAAATAATGTTAGCAAAAAACTTAGGCTATTACCAAGTGAGATTTTTTTAAAGATTTTACTTATTTATTCATGACAGACACAGAGATAGAGAGGCAGAAACATAGGCAGAGGGAGAAGTAGGCTCCCCACAGGGAGCCCAATGTGGGACTTGATTGCAGGACTCTGGGATCACAACCTGAGCTAAAGGCAGACACTCAACTGATAAGCCATGCAGGCATCCCCCAAATGAGATTTTTTTTTAAATGATGTCCAACTATAAAAATGTTACTAACCCATCAAATGAGGACTCTGCCTAAATGTGCTAGCATTGGTCCTTCAGTCTATGTATGTATCAACCCAATCTTCCCATAAAATGCCTATATCAGATCAGCTACCATCTGCAGTTATCTAAGAGACCAAAACTACAGATACTAGATCAATTAATTCTAGTCTAGATATCACCCTTTTCTAACCACTGAGTTAGGCAGTCAAGGCCAAGTAAAAGCTAAAAAGAAGAGAAACAAGAGGATATGGCAGGACAGGTTCCAGTGACAGTTTAGAAAACTGAACCAAATTTCAAAAGTATGGTTACTTACAAAAACACATTTAAACCATGGGTGATTCTCCTCCTTTGACTCATTCCTACTAGGAATTACTGTTACTATTACTAAGGAAATAGGAAACTTCTCTCCTTGTATTGACAAAAACCTTGACAAGTCATGGCAGTCAACTGGTTCATCTCCACCAGTCCTTACCTCTGCAAACCTCATACAAGTATATGGAGAAAGAGTAAGAGCAGACTGCTGACAAAACCCTGTCAACCCTGATGATGATGATACACAGCTGAAAAATATATTAAATAGGGTTTGAAGATAATATATTTTTTTAATGAGGCATAAAATCCAAAATCCCAAGCAGGGCCTAGGTCATGAAGTTTTAATCTCTTGTAAATGGACCATGGATAAGCAGCTCTCTCCATCAGATGAAATTCATTTTGAGGTCTGCACTTTTATCAATACCTGATATTAAACATTCTCAAGTTAACTCAATCACTTATAAACACCAGAAATGAGATATTATAATACATGCGTGTGTGTGTGTGTGTGTGTATATATATATATATATATATATGTATCACAGTATGATTAAAAAGCATTCTACCCACTCTAAATGGATATGAATCTCTCTAGCATATATTGTGTAATTCAATGCTGTTTACACTGTTCCTCAGAGCCCTCCCTTGAGGTGCGTCAGTGGAAGGAGGATGGGCAGGCAGAGTTCCAGGCTCCCTGCCTAGAATTCAATTAAAGCAACTTCACTTTTATCGGTTTTACATATTAGGGTTTTGTTGCTTGAACAAAGAGTTCCGCTACCAAAAAAAAGTCTAAAAATAGAGTTTTTAATGAACACTAGTATTAGCACTAACCATATAACCCTTAACAGCATGAGTCCACAAAGCAGAAAACTCTATAAAAGAGTTACTCACAATTTCCGAATGAAGTCAAGCGTGTCTTTGTCTTTAGCAATCATGTCTGCTAAAATATTCTGCACTCCTGTTTCAATATCCTGGAGTGCTGAAAGTCCTTTAGGAGAAGAGTGGGCGGGGGGGGGGGGGGGGGGGAACAAAAGCAAGAACTACAGATTGGTTTTTTAAGTCTATAATTAAATCATAATAAATGTATTCCAGTCAAAATAAACCCTTAAACTGAAAAACTTAAGACAGAGAGGTATAATAGCAGTTTCTAGCTTACCTCTGAAAAAAAATAACAAGTCTCCAAAGCAATAATACAGGACCTTTACAAACCATATAACGTAATGGTAAAAAATACAGCTCTGGAGCTAGCTTCCTGGTCTAATCCTAGTTTCACCACTTACCAGATGTATGACTTTGCACAAATTACTTGACCTCTTTGTGCCTCTGTTTCTTATAAAAAATGGAATAATAGCATCTACTTCATGAAGTGTTTATAAAGATTAAATGTATTCTAGGAAATATGTATTAACAGAGTTATAATCCAAGGTATACCATTTCATGCCAGTTATAAAAATTATCCTTTACAAGGAATTTTATTAATAATATTTTGACTTACAAGGTATTTATTCACCTTTTTAATGACCTATTTGAATTTCTCAAATCTCATGAGCACAAAACAAGAGCCATTATGTAGTCGTTCATCTTCATAGTTGAACTGTCTACCAATGGTACATTAAGTTCTTTCCAAATGCTTCTGGTTTGCTAATTTATAGCAGTGACTCTTGAACATTATGGCTCCTGTGATATCAACCTATAGATACATTGAGAAAGACCATTTGCACTGCTTTTTTCCCCCATTTCTTCTTAGTTGTTCTATTTCCATTAAAGCTTTTTTTCTTGCATTAAAGTTCAAACTACACAAGCACTAAGTATCGTAAGTATGGTTTTTTGAGAGCATAGTTTTAATGAGTATTAGGTACAAAAGACAAAGAGAATAAGAGGACAGACTTATGGAGTGATTAATAAAAAGAAATGTCTTGTTATTTTAAAGAAATTTAACCATTAAAATTAACAAATTCTGTTTACATTTTAAGAGAGTTTTCCTATGAGGGAATTATTAGGAGTTTTAATTTTTAGGAGTTTTTAATTATTAAAAACTAATTACCTTTCAGAGGCAGAAGGTTGTATATGTAAAGGACCTAGAATAGCTGTGACATATAGTAAGCAGTCAATAAATGTCTGCTCTTGGGTGAGCTATCTTCCTAGGTCAATCTTCATCTAAGAAAACCAGTCACTATGCACTAATTCCTGGAGTCCCAAAGCACCTCACAACATTGTTACACAAAATTTATTAACAACACCAGAGTGATAAGTTAGAAGTAAAAATGGAACCTATCTCCAATGAGAATCATCATTGAGAGAAAAGTGAAAAAGGAAGCTATAAATTTTGCTATTATAATAAAGAATCTTTGAAAAGCCCCCATCATTTTGGGCAAATACAATTTATAAACCTTTTATAATTAATAAACCTTATATAGTTAAAATTATGCTAGAGCTCTAGAACAGTGTTTTGTATAGTCTAAGGACCCAAAATTAAAATCACACTAGGTACTTATTAAAAATATGGATTCCCAGACTTTGGGATTTTTTGTTTTGCAGAGAATTCTGGATGATCCTGACATCCATTCATGTAAAAAAAAAAAAAAAAAAAGAAAGAAAGAAAGAAAGAAAAGAAAAAAAGAATGAAAGAAAAAGAAAAACACTGCTGTGAGGTACCCTGAGCTACCTCTAGAACAGTAGTTCCTAATGGGAGGCAGAAATTATCAGTCACTTGGGTAGCTCATTCAAATTACATAAACCCTTCTCAGTCCAACAAGGAAGAGAAAGGACTGGGAAAGAGTCTTGTGTGTTTGAATAAGCATCTTCTTCCATCAGACAGCATTGATCATTGGGGCTTAAGATAGCCAAAAATAACCAGAGTTCAAAAAGTTTAGCACCTCAATGAAATCAGGAGAAAATAAGGACCACAGAAGCAAAGAATCCTATCTCCTTTCTTGTAGTGAACACTTCCCAGTCAGATTCTTCAGAGCTCTGCAACTGTAACAAAAATTGAAGGGCCAACACTTCTTTTCACCTATCTGCACTAAGGCTACCTCTTCTTCCACATAACAATCAGCCACTCCTTATAAATAACATGGGGATATTCTGGAAATTCTAAGATGTAGTCCATTTGTGGCATGTATATCTTTTTGATTCAGACCAAATTCTTGTTGATCTGTGGCAAGTAAGTAGTATCTTCCAATTCACACTGAAATATCTGGTTTCTTAAACATTTCTTTGAGAAATGATGGGAATGACAAAAAAAAAAAAAAAAAAAAAAACTTCTGTAGAAAAATAAAAGAGCATTGAGGGTGATCATGAATATGTGTTTAGCCCAAGAAATGAGAGGACAAAGAAAAGAAAAAAAACAATCCAAGCAAACTTTAAAAACCAGTATCAAGCTTGTTTGTAATTAACTGTAATTCTTTGAAATTTATGATAAAAGTAAAATAGAGAATAAAGCAGACATAAAGCTCAACACATGTGGTAGTACTACTGCCGCTGCTCTGAGCCCTGATCCAGCTCCATGATCAGAAGTATCACCAAGTGTCCATCACCATATAGTTCAGTAAGCATCACCCTATATGGCCATGCAAAGAGATACAGTTATCAAACCTACCCAGTATGAGTGCAAACTAAGGAAAACTTTGTACCAAAAGAAATGAAAAAGAAAGGAAATTGATCCTAAAAGAGTAAGAACAGACAATAAACCTTTATGCATTTGACATTCTGAAAACCCCAATATTTGATTCTAAAACATACTATCAGTGGGCAAGAAAGTTCCCACTGACTGACCTTAATGCTTGGCTATACAGTCTCAACTACTATTAAAACATTAAATTTGCATCATTTGAAAATCTAACTAAAAATACATATTAAAAAATTAAACGAGGGGATCCCTGGGTGGCTCAGCGATTTGGCGCCTGCCTTTGGCCCAGGGCGCGGTCCTGGAGTCCCGGGATCGAGTCCCGCGTCAGGCTCCTAGTATGGAGCCTGCTTCTCCCTCTGCCTGTGTCTCTGCCTCTCTCTCTCTCTCTCTATTGTGAATAAATAGAAGAAAATCTAAAAAAAAAAAAAAAATTAAACAAGTAAATGTGTTTTACTCATTTCAATCCATCACTAAATTCAATATTTATTTGTTTTCTTTTAATTATTGCCTTTTTCAAAATAGATATTAAGATGTAGTTGTATGTGAACAGACATTTGTATTTTTACAGACATTCATGCTTAATTTTTTTAATGGCAAACTCACACTGCTGTGTAGTTTAAAATGAATGCAGGTTACAATATGCTAGGATTCTCTACAGTGTAGTACAGAATGTGTACTGATATTCTTATCAGAGACTGCCCCCTATAGACACTTAGATCTCCCAGCCAAAAGAATAAACAGAAGGCCAAAGAAACTAAAATGAGCATAGGAATTAGGAAAGCACCAATCTCCCCATCCTATCCTATCAGAGCACTTCTGTAAAAAGCCACTCTTGCTCAAAGAGCTCTCACTCTATGGCTTATCTTGTCAATAAAACCAATGTATCTTGACATGTATCAGTTGTCACTTTACATGGTTTTCTCTTAGAAATCTTCTCTCCCCAATAATTCATTTTGCCTTTGGAGACATGTCTAGTAAGAAGTTGCTGTGGCCATGGATGCAAAGGTTGCTGTCTCTGTTCTCCTCTAGGACTTTGATGGATTCCTGTCTCACATTTAGGTCTTTCATCCATTTTTAGTTTGTCTTTGTATATGGTGTGAGGAAATGATCCAGTTTCATTCTTCTGCATGTGGCTGTCCAATTTTCCCAACACAATTTGTTGAAGAGACTATCTTTTTTCCACTGGATATTCTTTACTGCTTTGTCAAAGATTAGTTGACCATAGAGGTGAGGGTCCTTTTCTGGATACTCTATTCTGTTCCATTGATCTCTATGTCTGTTTTTGTGCCAGTACCCTACTGTCTTGATAATTACAGCTTTGTAATAGAACTTGAAGTCAGGAGTTGTGATGCCATCCATTTTGGTTTTCTTTTTCAACATTCCTTTGGCTATTCAGGGTCTTTTCTGGTTTTATACAAATTTTAAGGTTATTTGTTCCAATTCTGTGAAATAAGTTGATGGTATTTTGATAGGGATTGCATTGAATGTATCGATTGCTCTAGGTAACATAGACACTTTAACAATATTTGTTCTTCCAATCTATGAGCATGGAACATTTTTCCACCTCTTTGTGTCTTCCTCAATTTATTTCATGAGTGTTCAACAGTTTTTTGAATATAGATCCTTAGTCTCTTTGGTGAGATTTATTCCTAGGTATCTTATGGTTTTGGGTGCAACTGACTATTGGGACTTCATCAAGATAAAAAGCTTTTGCACAGCAAAAAACAGTCAACAAAACCAAAGGACAACCAACAGAATGAGAGAAGATATTTGAAAATAACATATCAAAGGTCTAGTATCCAAAATCTATAAAGAACTTAACAACTCAACACTCACACCCAAAGAACAAATAATCCAATCAAGAAATGGGCAGCACACATGAACAGACATTCCTCCAAAGACATATAAATGGCTAACAGACACATGAAAAAATGCTCCACATCACTTGGCATCAGGGAAATAGGAATCAAAACCACAATGAGGTACTACCTCATACCAAACAGAATGACTATAATTAATAGGTCAGGAAACAACAGATGTTGAGGATGAGGAGAAATGGGAATCCTTGAACACTGTTGGTGGGAATGCAAGCTGGCGTATATGGAAAATGTATGTGAGTTCCTCAAAAAGTCAAAAATAGATCTACCCCATGACCCAGCAATTGCACTAGGTATTCACCCCAAGATACAAAAGTAGTGATCCAAAGGGGCACCAGCACCCCAATGTTCACAGGAGTTATGTCCACAATAGCCAAACTATGGAAAGAGCCCAGATGTCCATCAATAGATGAATAGATAAAGATATATTCTATATATAATGGACTACTACTCAGCCATCAAAAAATGAAATCTTGCCATTTGCAATGACATGGATGAACTAGAGGATATTATGCTGTGAAATAAATCAATCAGAGAAAGACAATTATCATATGATCTCACTCATGTGGAATTAAGAAGCAAAGCAGAGACACCTGGGTAGCTCAGTTAGGCATTTGCCTTTGGCTTGGGTCATGATCCCAATATCCTGGGATCCAGCCCTGCATTGGGCTCCCTGCTCAATGAGGAGTCTGCTTCTCATCTTCCTCTCCCTCTGCCCCTCTACCTCCACTCATGTCTCTCTCTCTGTTGCAAATAAACAAAAAAATAAAATAAAGAAACAAGAGAATCATAGGAGAAGAGAGAAAAAAATAAAACAAGATGAAATCAGAGAGGGAGCAAACCATAAAAGACTCTTAATCATAGGAAACAAACTAAGGGTCACTGGAGGGGAGGGGGTGCAGAGATGGGATAACTGAATGATGGATATTAAGGAGGGTATGTGATGTAATGAGCACCGGGTGTTATAGAAGACTGATGAATCACTGACCTCTACCTCTGAAGCCAATAATACATTATTTGTTAATTAATTGAATTTAAATTTAAAAAAAGAAATAAAGAAATTCTCTCTCCCCTGCCCTCTTCTCTGCTCACTCTCCTTCTTGTACACATATATATAAAAGGATAGGAAGATACACTTCAGAAAAAGACTCTTTATTCCTGGAGAGTAGAAGTGTAGAAACAGGACTTCACTTTATAAATAATGTATGTCAGAACTGTTAAAATTATTTAAAAAAAAAACGGTATTATTTGTATAATTAAATTTTTAGAAATAGAGTAAAAATTTTAAAAGACAACATAAGACACTTTTTGTAACTTTGGGACATGAAGAAATTTCATTAAAAAGAAAAAAAAGCAAGCACCTTAGAAAAAAATTAGGAAAATTAAAAGAATTAATAAATTAACTATAATGAAACTAAGACCTTCTATTTTATTTTCTTTTTATTTAATAGACAGCATAGCATAAAGAAAGTGAAAAGTAACAAACTGGGAGAAAAAATTTGTAATACATATAACTAAGAAAGAATATCTTTAAAAAGACTTATAAATTAATAAAAATAGGAGAAACAACACAATAAAAATGGGCAAAAGACTAGAACAGGTACTTCATCAAAAGAGGAAGCTGAATGGCTAAGCAGGAGATATATGGGGATTTGTTTTATTAGAGTGACTTACTCTTTTTATGCTATAATATTCTTTTACATAGTCATTACTTAGTAAAACAATTTTTTTAACATAGTTTTCAAAAAGGAAGAAGAAACAGAGATGATCTCTTGAAGTAAAGCCAGTACCTTTTACATTGGGTCTAATATAAGACAGCAGATTGAGCTCCCCTGGATTCTCAAGCAGTGTTTTAGCTGCTCCTTCTAACCCCAACTGCTTTGCTCTCTGGGCTTTGGTGCCTTTGCTCCCAGTTTTATATGGAGCTGACTAGAAAAAAAAAAAGTCAGAAAATATACCATATCATTCAGTTTTAAAAAGCAAAAGTCAAATTGAAACATAAAATCAGAAGACATGGTAGGAATGCTAAAGATATCCTTTGCTCAATCCTTCCCTTTCCCTTCAGAGATGAATTAATACAAACCTGAGATTACTAGCTATATGAAGATGGCTGTTCCTTATCTGAGTCTTTATCCTTTTCTATTTATTTCATATTAGTCATTTGTATTTACTCATCTTAAAAACTCAGTGCCTGGACTGCAAGGACTATGAGGTCCTCTCCTCAACCCAAGCGAGCTCCTCTAATAGCTGCTGATACATAATGCTTCTACTGCTTTAAACACATTCACTCTTCAATCTGAGCCATTAGGCTTCTCTTCCCACACCTTGCTGAGAGTGGTATCCTAAAGAAGCACAATGATCCTCTAATTACCAAATATACATTTTTCAGTCCTTATCTTGCCAAAACTCCTTGCTACATTTATTCACTTAACTATTGACCATTACCTTCTTCTAAGATTTTCTTCCCTATAGTCTTCCATGGTATCATCATCTCCAGATTCTCCTCCTACTTCCCTGACCATTCTTTCCATGTCTTCTGCTCTCCCTTCCACCACCCATGCTTCAAAAGTTAGTGTTCCTTAATGGTTTCTCCGGACTTGCTTACCCACAAGCTCTCCCTGAGTGAGTTCCATTCTCATGGCTTTCAATACCAACTACATGCTGAAGACCCTCACAACTAGGTTTCCACCTCAGCACTCTCCCTTAGGGTTCTCAATTCCATAACATACTCTCCTTTGTCCCCTGACTCAACTGGGAATGCCTTGGAGACATGGATTATGTATTATTTATCTTAGCAAACTACACAAAAAAGCATCTGATATTGTTGCACTGTATTGAATTAAATAATGGTGGCTAATGATTTTAGCTTTTTATTTCCAGATCTTTTTTAACTATAAAAAGAGACAAATCCTAACATACCTAGGTGAGTATTATATTAAAAGATTCAAAGAGTTACTTACCACATGTTCTAGTTCTTCAAAAGTTTTACAATTCAGCAAAGCTTTTAACAAGCACTCAGACATCTTCCCCTCCTTCTTAATTTTTTGGATTGTACTATGAACCTTCTTTGCAACAGCCCTGAAAATAAAAATATTTTGTAAAATACTAGACTTATGTGTCAAAACTTCCTTTTTGAAGTTATCTCAAACTTACAAAAAAGTGGTAGGTAACATAAAACATTTTTCCCCCTGAACCATTTAAGAATAAGTTACCATTACCCAAATAATTTAGTATATATTTTTCTGTAAACAAGAATCTCCTCCTATATAACAATATAGCCATCAAAATCAGGTAATGGATATAGATATATTACTATATTGTAACCCTCAGATCTCACTTAAGTTTCACCAATTGTTTCAATAATATCCTTGATAGAGAATTCTGTTAAGAGTGGGTTGTATGTAATTGCCATGTGTCTATGGTGCCCTTCAAGCTGAAACAGTATTTCAGTCTCTCCTTGATTCTCAAAGCCTTGATACTTTAGAATGTTACAGGCCAGTTATTTTGTAGAATTTCCTACAGTTTGAGTTCCTCTGATGTTTCTCTGTTATAGAAGTAATGCTGTATTCTTATCATTGCATCTTTTAGGTGGCAAATGATTTTCTTTTTTTTTTAATATTTTATTTATTTATTCATAGAGAGGCAGAGAGAGAGAGAGAGAGAGAGGCAGAGAGACAGGCAGAGAGAGAAGCAGGCTCCATGCAGAGAGCCTGACGTGGGACTTGATCCCGGGTCTGCAGGATCACGCCCTGGGCCGTAGGTGGCGCTAAACCGCTGCGCCACCGGGGCTGCCCCGCAAATGATTTTCACTTGTACTATCACTCATTACCTTATATTATTTGATAGTGTGTTTGGATTTCTCCACGATGCAGGCACTCTATTCCTGTGTAATTAAGTATTTTGTAGAAAGGTACTCTAAAACTATTCCATTCCTTATTAAACTTTCAATTTACTTGCTGTTTTATTTATATCACCACAGACTCATGATTTTTTTTAAAATTATATTTAATGGTTATAATCCATTACTAACACTTATTTTCAGGCTCAAATTATTACAAGTTTGACCAGAAGTAACCCCTCCAAGTTAGTTTCTGTGTTCTTTTGACATATTTCCATCATTCTTTGAACATTTCTTTTATTTTCTGGCACAAGATATTCAAGGCTTTTACTTTCCTTGCCCCAGCCCTGGAATCAGGCAAATAGTAACCAAAAACCAAGTTATGGGTGCTAGATGTGCTCATTGCTACTGGGTATCACTACTCTGGACCAACACACCCAGCACCCATAACTCATTTCTAAATACCATTCTCCAATGGAGAGAGCCAGGACTTCATTGAGAAAAGCTGATTCCAGGAAACGATGCATAGGTAGGGGCAAGGGCACAGTCACCCCACCACTTTCAGATGATTCTGTGTTGTGAACAAAATCCCGTTATATCTAAGGCCTCTCATCCTACTTTACTACATAGCATCTGCCTAATTAGATTTGCTAAAGTGATGGGGGAAAGTTAGACAAAAATATAGATTATTAGAAATGATTGATAAGGAAAAAAAATTAAATCTACTTATAAAAAAAGAAAAAAAAACAAAGATAGAAGATTATAAATTAAAGAGGAAGCTTATGCAGTAACAGATTACAACCTGTGTATCTTTTATATTCCTGGTAGTCCAAGACTGTTTTCAGGGGCTGAATCACACTAGGGTCATTTTGACAAAAGGCCAATGTCCTATTGGCCTGCATATACATAAGAGGAAAGGCATCTTTAGAGAAAATATGGAAGCTTTTCCTACTATCCATGATCAACCTCTTTTATTCACATTTTTAGTGACCCTCAGTAAAAAGTGTTTTTTACTTTGCAACCTAGTACGCATATACACATATATAATTTTATATATAAAAATTATATGAACATATAAATATGTATAATAAACAGTTACATAAACATAAACAGTTTCATGAGACAATATTTACCTTTTACTACATAAACTACACTCTTACATTTTCTATTGTCTATTTAATTTTTGTTAAAGTGGTAATGACCCATTACATTAACTTCACTACTCCTTTATAGCTAGCAATTAACAGATTGAAAACCAATGCTTTAGTTATAGAAAATGCTGAGCTTAAGGAAAAATAGAGACTATACCTCATTACCAAATCTCTGTATGGTATACTAAAGGTCTTCAAGCCCCAGTCAATATTCCCACTTAGTTGGAGAAATTTCCTCCACTAATATTCAATGTATTTCACAATTAATAGATACCCAGGGAATGAACTCATTTGCAAAAGTGTTTTTTTATAGAAAAAGAAAATAATAGTAATCTGCACATAAAGCTTCTATTTGTCTTCCATACAACCAAATATTATTAGATTATCATTAATTTTTTTGTATATTTTTTTTATTGGAGTTCAATTTGCCAACATACAGCATAACACCCAGTGCTCATCCCATCAAGTGCCCCCCTCAGTGCCCGTCACCCAGTCACCTCGTCCTTCTGCTCACCTCCCCTCCACTACCCCTTGTTTGCTTCCCAGAGTTAGGGGTCTCTCATGTTCCGTCACCCTTTCTGATATTTCCCACTCATTTTCTCTCCTTTCCCCTATAATCCCTTTCACTATTTTTTATATTCCCCGAATGAATGACACCATATAATGTTTGTCTTCTCCAATTGACTTACTTCATTTAGCATAAAACCCTCCAGTTCTATCCACGTTGAAGCAAATAGTGGGTATTTGTTGTTTCTAATGGCTAATATTCCATTGTATATATAGACCACAACTTCTTTATCCATTCATCTTTCAATGGACACGGAGGCTCCTTCCAGATTATCATTAATTTTTAAATAAACTATTCTTGTTCGTTTGTGACACTTTCCTCATTTTCAGATCCCTAAATGCTCACATTTTCTTCATTAGCTTGCCTTCAACCAGATAGAAAGCTTACTTCAGAATTCATAAACTACTGGCCTTCAACTTGTGGCCTGTAGGTGATTTCATCTAGCCCAGAAAATTTTTATATAATAACTCAGATTGCCAGATTCTTTTAAAAAATAGGATAAGCTGGCAAGCTGGGTAGACAAGCCTGATGTCAGTAATCAGCTGGAGTAGATGCCACTCCTCTTAGGGGTTAGGATCTACAGTTTGTATCCCTTGATGCTCATTACTAATCTGGCCCTGGAAGACTTGATTCTGAATCTACTTGATAACCTAGTCATTTATGTTTCTGGGTTGGTTAATTGATTTTGCCTCTCAGTGAACTTTAACTCTCCACCTATTAGCATTTTAATACTCCTGGACTAAAAGAACTTTAACAAAAGGTGTAGAAATGCTAGTAAGATGCAGGTTCCCGCCAAAATCATAGGAAGATTATTAGGCTGCTTGTAAAAATAACTTTTAGCACTTTGAGAATGGCTTGAAGGTAAGATTATATTCAATTTTAATCAGATCCTTGTCATAAAGTTGAAAAACAAACATGTTAACACAGTGCTTGGCTTGTAGGAGATGTGCAATAAATGCATGAATGGTGAAGAATGTTTTAATAAACTCTACTGAAAAATATAATATAGTCTTTGCATGCTTATTTCTAAATTATTACAGTAAGTCCAGAAGAATAATTTTTGGAAGGGTGCTTTTCATTCTATGGCCACACAAAACTTAAGACCCACTAATATCAAAATATCATGCCCTTTAAAAGGTTAGAAAAAGGAAATATACATATTTCCCTTCAAATTGTATACACCAAAAAGCTCTTCATTTTAGGACTTCATAACATTAAAAGGATAGTTTTACAATAAGCTGTTGAAGATTCAGACTAAAATGCATTTTTCTCAGTTTCTTTCCTTTGCCATATGCACAACCAATCCTATGAAAGAATATAATGGTCAAACTCTTAGGCACACACTTTTAATGCAAACCTCCTTTCTGCCCATGTGTGTCCCAAGCTATGCATAAACACTCCAGCAGAGGGACTCTGTATACACCTAAAGAAATAAATTGGAGCTGACTTCCTCTGTCAGAAGGCAACTATATTCAGATTATAATAATTCAAGAAAACAAAACAATGGAACTGTTGAAACATGCTGTCATTCATTTCTTCACTGTTTCTCCTCCCTAGCTTACATGGCCTCTCTCCCCTCACAGTAGGTTCTTCCCAGGTTTCTTACCGGAGCTCCTCTAGGGTTTGTCGAACTTCTCTCAAGGAATCAGCATCAAGGTTATTAATAAGCTCTTTCCGATACCGTATAATGAAGGGAATTGTGTTATCATCATTAAAGAGACGAATAATGTTGGCACATACCCAAAGTTCAATATTAGTTCTCTCAGATAAAACCTGCAAATTAAGGATAGTGATTTAAAATCCTGAAAATTAAACATCTATACTGTAATGTATGGTTCAAATATAGAATCAAATAATGTTCTCCAGTCACTTAGAAACTACTTTCTGTGGTTTAAAAAAATACATATACGTACTGACAATCATAAAATAGTAATTCAGTAAAATCCAATAAAGCCACTGTATAATCATTCAAGTTCTACAAGGCTCAATAAGACACACTTTTCCCCTCTCAAGAGTTAGCAGTAAAGATCAAGGAGTTAGTAACTCACTGACATGTCAACACATGACACTATTGTCTCACTGCTAGTGAGAAAATGCAAAGGTCCATCCGCTAGAGGAAGAACAGTTTGGCAGTATCTATCAAAATTTATAATACATAAACTCTTTGACCCAGCAATTCCATTCCTGATGTATTCATAACCTTGGGAAATGATATTATTTATAGCGATATTTTTTGAATAACTTTTTGCAGTATAATAAAAGTGAGCAAAAACCTAAGTCTATAATGGGAAACTGGTAAATAAATCATGATATGGTAAGAGTAGAATACCATGTAAACTGAAATGGAATGACTCACAAAACCTAGGAACATTGCTTACTAAGAACACTGGCTGAGTGAGGATAGGAAGATTCCTGTGATCTTTTGGTTTTAATATCATACACATATACTACATATTTGAAATAAGTCTTTTTAATAAAATAAATCTATGGGTTTCAGGAGAAGGTGCATGTAAACAGAAAGGTAGAGAAGTCAGCCTCAAGAAGAGAAAGAGGGAAATGCAATCTCAGTAACTGTTCTCAAAACCTACGCAGATTTTTCAAAGTATAGCACAAAAGGCACAAATTTTATTACTATCTCAATTTTGATGCCCAAGATCAGTCAAAAGTGGAAGGGTAATAAAAACCCAGAAAAATTATTAAAGAATTATCATAATCAACTAATTAACAAAATCAAGTTAATATATAGAATAGAATGAATTTCAAAACTACAGATGAAATAAAAGGCTGAAATCCAGAGACTATGCAAGGAGGATATGCTCATTCTTCTGGGCATCTTAAATCCTGAGGCCTATATTTTATTACCATTTTGATGCATTAATACCATCTCTCCGGCGAGTGAGAATGCCAACTTCACATCTCCAGCCCTGGCTGCCTTCCACATGAGCTCCAGACTCATTTAGATAACTACCTGACATATTCTCTTGAAAACATAATGGGCATCTCAAACGGCTTTGCAAAGTGATCTTCCTCTCAGACTTATTCCTCCTCCAGTGTTCCCCCTTATTATGTCCAAACAGCAGTTCAAGCCAGAAAACTAAGAGTCTAACCCTTTCATTTCCTTCAACTCTTAAAGCCACTCTATCAAAAGAATTAATTCACCTAACCACAAAATATTTCTGTAGTCCTATCACTCCTGTTCATTTCTTCCTCCCTACACCTATCTAGATCAACCAGGATTACTCAATAGCCTGTAACTATTCTTGCATCCAATTCTTTTTTTTTTTCAGAGCTTTTATATTTGAGTTTATTCTTCATTTAGCTTTTAAAACACTACTATAGTTGAATATTAAAACAAAAACAATAGCAAGTAGTGAGCTATGATTATAGTCCTTCACTCATTCACTACTGCATATAAAATGCCAGCAGCAGTATTATTCACTGGCCCCATTAAGAGGTCGGACACTGAACACCACCCCTAGGATGATGTTCATCATCCTCACATGCTTCCCCATTGTAATGGCGCCATCTCTCCTGATTGGGATCAAAGTCCACAAGTTCTACCTGGTCCATTCATTTTCCTCTCAGGTAGGAGTTTTTCCAGCAAAGAAAGTTTATCAGGAGAGAGAAAGCCGTTCTCGGGGAAGTTTACCTTAAATTCGATGATTAGGCGACCCTTCTCATATGGTCTACGATAAATTGGCATGCCTTCATTTAGCACGTACTTGATATCCCCATGCTTGACAATCTGACCTGGATGAGAGGTGATGACGATGGTTTGGTTGTCAAGAGTAGATATTGGCTTTTGAAAGCCACACAGGGCTTCAACCAGCTGTATATCCATACACATGAAAAGATCTTCTCCTCGTCGAGTAAAAACAACATGGTCCTTCTGATCTAAAACAATGATAATATCTCCTGGTTCCAGTCCTGGTTCTTGGTCTCCCTCACCATGGAATGTTATCTTCTGGCCATCTTTCATGCCTTTGTCAATATGCACTTCTAGAATCTTCTCTCGAACTATCTTCCTTCCATTGCAGCATTTACATCTATCTTTAGGACTGATCCGTTCCCCATGGCTCTGGCACTCCATGCACACAGATCGAATTTGCTGAACCATTCCAGGTCCTATCTGATGAATTCTTATTTGCATTCCAGTACCTTGGCAATTGGGACAACATTCGACTGCTCCATTCTTACCACCTCGGCCTTCACATTTATCGCAAATCACATTCTTTTGCAGAGCTAGTTTTCTTGTTGTGCCATTATATACGTCTTCTAAGGTTACTGAGAGCTGATGTACAACATTTTTACTTCTCCGTTCTCTCTGCATCCTGCCTCCTCCTCCAAAAAACATATCAAAGATGTCCATGGGGGAGCGAAAACCACCACCAGCTCCACCTTCTTTAATTGCCTATTCTCCTCCTTTGTCATATAATTCCCTTTTCTTTGCATCAGAGAGCACTTCATAAGCTTGAGAAATCTGTTTAAACTTCTCTCCTTCATTTGGATTCTTATCAGGGTGGTACTTCAAGGCCAGTTTTCTGTAAGCCTTTTTCAATTCCTCCTGGGTGGCATTGGGTTTGACCCCCAAAACATCATATTAAGTGGTTTCTTTCACCATTTTCTACAGCCGGTGAGAGGGCCGAAGCCAGTGTGGGGGAGCGGGAAGGAGTGCATTGCTGGGCGCAGCTCGGGCAGCCACCGCTCCTCCGCGTCTCACCGAGCATTCTGGAAAGTTCCCTCTTGCATCCAATTCAATCCCATCTATTCTAGTCTCCATGAACCAACAAGGATTTTTTTTTTTAAGATTTTATTTATTTATTCATGACAGACAGGGAGAGACAGAGACACAGGCAGAGGGAGAAGCAGGCTCCATACAGGGAGCCTGATGCAGGACTCGATCCCGGGACTCCAGGATCACGCCCTGGGCTGAAGGTGGTGCTAAACCACTGAGCCACCCAGGGATCCCAGATTTTTTTTTTGTTTTGTTTTTATAAATTAATTTTTATTGGTGTTCAATTTACCAACATACAGAATAACACCCAGTGCTCACCTCAGTGCCCGTCACCCATTCACCCCCACCCCCCACCCTCCTCCCCCTCCACCACCCCTAGTTCATTTCCCAGAGTTAGAAGTCTTTATGTTCTGTCTCCCTTTCTGATATTTCTCACACATTTCTTCTCCCTTCCCTTATATTCCCTTTCGCTATTATTCATATTCCCCAAATGAATGAGAACATACACTGTTTGTCCTTCTCCGGTTACTGTGGCCAAGTTCAAAAAGGGTGTTGCCTGAGTTCTCCTCTGGGATTTTGATGGAGTCTTGTCTCACATTTAGATCTTTCATCTATTTTGAGTTTATCTTTGTGTATGGTGCAAGAGAGTGGTCCAGTTTCATTCTTCTGCATGTGGATGTCCAATTTTCCCAGCACCATTTATTGAAGAGAGTGTCTTTCTTCTAGTGGATCGTCTTTCCTCCTTTATCGTATATTAGTTGAGCATAAAGTTCAGGGTCCACTTCTGGGTTCTCTGTTCTGTTCCATTGATCTATGTGTCTGTTTTTGTGCCAGTACCACACTGTCTTGATGAACACAGCTTTGTAGTACAACCTGAAATCTGGCATTATGATGCCCCCAGATATGGTTTTCTTTTTTTAAAATTCCCATGGCTGTTTGGGGTCTTTTCTGATTCCACACAAATCTTAAAATAATTTGTTCTAAGTCTCTGAAGAAAGTCCATGGTATTTTGATAGGGATTGCATTATACGTGTAAATTGCCCTGGGTAACATTGACATTTTCACAATATTAATTCTGCCAATCCATGAGCATGGAATATTTTTCCATCTCTTTGTGTCTTCCTCAATTTCTTTCAGAAGTGTTCTGTAGTTTTTAGGGTATATTTTGAGAACCATTTGAATGGTAAATGGTTCTCCAACCTTTTATTTTCAGGTTGTAGGTGTCCTTCTGTCTAAAATGAGTCTCTTGTAGACAGCAAATAGATGGGTCCTGTTTTTTTATCCAGTCTGAAACTCTGCGCCTTTTGATGGGGTCATTAAGCCCATTCACGTTCAGAGTTACTTGAACTTCTTCTTAAAGGGGAGTTTTAAGAGTCCCCCTTAAAATTTCTTGCAGAGCTGGTTTGGAGGTCACATATTCTTTCAGTTCCTGCCTGTCTTGGAAGCTCTTTATCTCTCCTTCCATTTTGAATGAGAGCCTTGCTGGATAGAGTATTCTTGGTTGCATGTTCTTCTCATTTAGGACCCTGAATATATCCTGCCAGCCCTTTCTGGCCTGCCAGGTCTCTGTGGAGAGGTCTGCTGTTACCCTAATATTCCTCCCCATGAAAGTCAGGGACTTCTTGTCTCTTGCTGCTTTAAGGATCTTCTCTTTATCTTTGGAATTTGCAAGCTTCACTATTAGATGTCGAGGTGTTGAACGGTTTTTATTGATTTTAGGGGGGGATCTCTCTATTTCCTGGATCTGAATGCCTGTTTCCCTTCCCAGATTGGGAAAGTTTTCAGCTAGGATTTGTTCAAATACATATTCTGGCCCTCTGGCCCTTTCGGCGCCCTCGGGAACCCCAATTAAACGTAGGTTTTTCTTCCTTAGAGTGTCATTTATTTCCCTTAATCTGTCTTCATGGTTCTTTAATTGTTTATCTCTTTTTTCCTCAGTTTCCCTCTTTGCCATTAATTTGTCTTCTATGTCACTCACTCGTTCTTCCACCTCGTTAACCCTCGTCGTTAGGACTTCTAGTTTGGATTGCATCTCATT